CAGCTTTACTGCAACCTGCGCTCCCCCAGTCTATCCAACTCCGACTCGAGTAATGCTGTCTTTCAGTTTTCTCTCTATTTAGAGGCCCAAACGTGAACTTCTTCAAGTTTCTCTTGCATACTTGCCTCATAAAAGCCCCCAGTATCCCTTATGGCTTGATTTTCCGTTGATCCCGATTTTTTTCACCAGATCCTGATTTTTTAAACTCTAAAATCCGGATTTTTAGATTTCATAGAGTTGCAGGTCTGCATATCCATGCTCTATGGTTTAAACTATTTTTATTACCCCAGCAGACCCTAGCACTCTTAAGAACATTCTTGGCTTCGAGGGAAGCATGCCGTACAAGCTGTCATTTTTCAGATGCTAAAAGATCTTTCTTATCCGTTCACCTTCATGGGCCAAACTGATCCTTGAGCCCATGAACCCGCAACTTCATGGTAATGAGTCTGGTAGCCTACCAAGGCCATTGAGCCTTTTTACACTTTTTCGTAAAAGATGTTCTGGTTTGACTGTTTTTGATGGTTCACTGTATCATTATCAAGTAAACAGTCGTGTATCTTACAGCTAATACCTTGAAACGGCTTAATTTATCTTTTTTTTTTTTTATGCAACATAACTGGTACCTTGTAACGGCTAAATTGATCTTGTTTTTTTTTATGGTTATTATCAAATTTTTCATTGCTTTTCTTTTGTTGTTTTTTTCCTTTCCAGATGGCAGCAGCTTCGGATCGAGAGATTCTGACAGAGGTGGTCGCTATGGTGATCGCGATAGAGGTGGTTTCTCTGACAGAAGCTATGGCGACAGGGACCGGGGCTTCGGCGATCGAGATAGGGGCTTCGGCGGTGACCGGGACAGGGGAGGCGGTTTTGGAGATAGAGATCGCGGGTTTGACAGAGACAGAGGATTTGGTGGTGACAGAGATCGTGGTTCCTTTGGCGATCGGGACAGAGGGTATGGCGGAGATCGTGATCGTGGTTTTGGTGATCGGGACCGTGGTTTTGGTGGTGACCGGGATCGTGGTTTTGGTGGAGACAGAGACCGTGGCTTTGACCGAGATAGAGGCTTCGGTGGCGACAGGGACAGAGGCTTTGGTGGCGACAGAGATAGAGGCTACGGTGGAGACAGAGATAGAGGTAAGTTTTTTTTACGATTATTTTGGGGGGTGCGGGGAGGATGGAGTATTTTCTGTTAAACAAGAGGATGTTGTCTTGGGGGTTCCAAGTTGTGTATGGTGTAGGGTTGAAGTCCCCATTAAATAAACTTATTTAAAAAGAGCCTTCTCCCTTACCTCACAGAATATCTAATTTGTTTTTAGTGAGACTTTACCACAAGACTGGAGAGCTCTAAACATGCAAAACGATAAAAGTTCAAGATTTGCCTGTTTAAAATTTGGACGAGGCACCAGCTTGATTTTTATGAAATGTTTTTTTTTCCTTTAGTTATGTCCCTATGGTCATTCATTGAGACAGGCTGTCTCTTTGTTTGCTCCTTTGTTATTTCCCCTTGTAGGCTACGGTGATCGCGATCGCTATAGCAACGATAGGGGTTATGATGGTCGTGACAGAGGTGGCTACGGCGACAGTCGAGGGGGAGACCGATCGAGAGGTTACGGCTTCAATCGGGACCGTGAAGACGGGGGTAAGCACAAACTACTTTGTGTAGCAGCAGCTTGACTGGCTTGCTGGCATTTGCTTTGCTTTGGGGTGCTATCTAAAAACACCCATCAACTTCATGAAGTCAACTGAGTTTTAAGAACCTTTATGAGTATCTCGTTTACATGTGATGACTACTCACTCTTATTTTTGAAGTCAGTTTTTTTTTCCTTTTTGTTTCGTGTGCCCTTCTGCTGTGAGTATGAGTGTCTTTTTTTCTGTCTCGTAATATTAAAAGAGACTACAGAAACCTGCAGTGTCGTCTGTTATATCACAGACCTTCTGTTTGCTTATGAACACATTACAAGAGAAAACTAAGGTTCATGGCTTCACTTACAGCTGCAAAATGCAGTTATGTATGTAGTAAAGTCAAATACTGAGACATAATAGTTAAAACAAAAATATCTACTTTAGGGTGTGGGAGGGAGGGGGGAATTTGTTATCCCATTTGATGCTTCGCCCGAGTTTGCTTCATCTCTATTTAAACTGCTAACTGCCTTGTAAATGAATCTCTGGCCTTGAAATTAAACAATTTGGCACTGTGAGATGAAAAAAATGTACCAGTGCTTTTTTTTTTTTTTTTAATAAATTTTCTAAGACAATGGCTGAATAATTTGTCTATCGTCTCTAGCAAGTCACATGTCTCCACTACCATTCGGAAGTGAGAAATTTAACTTTTTAGTACACATTGTTCTGTTTTCAGCCACAGCAATAATGCCAATATCAAGTTAGTTTTTGCGGCAGTGAAGGGGCTGACCTGTTGTAGGAAAAAATAGGAAAGCCCACAGTACTTTTGGCTATTGTTTGTTCACAAGGCTTTCATGGTGTGGAGATATGAGATCCTTGCAACACACGCATAGCTGCCAACCAGTATATAAAAACATGCGTTTTTGAGAGTCTGTGCAAGGAAGTCAATTCTAGTGTCAGAAAATAAGAAAATTATATTCTCTGTTTTCTAGTAATGCGCCTGTGGACTTGATGAAAATTATGATTTTTCTAGACCAGATTTGCGAATAATGATAAGTCAATTTGGAAGATCTTGACTAAACATTTTTGATAGATCTTTTGACGTTATGGTTGCAAGGTTTGCTTTCCATAGCTTGAATTTATTTAATGTGTAAGTGGGGGGGGGGGGGGGGGGGGAAAACACTTGACCGAACAGGGCCTACCATCTTGACCCTGCCCCCTGGGGCGAGGCTTGTTTTTTGGTTTTGAAAAGTTGGCAGCTTTGCTTATGTTTTGCACATGTTCTGAACGGGGGGGGGGGGGGGGTACCGGTTGGTTTTGGGAGGTTGTTTGGCTACAGTTTTTGCTGTCATTGTGGACTAAGTAAATGAATAATTCTTTGTATATGATTGAAAGTAAGTGAGATAACCTTGAGTCAGTGAGTTGAGCAATAATTTCCAGTCTTTGATATTGTTTGACTCAACAAAATTTTGTTTGTGTAGAAACAACTTTTCGCTTAGCGAATTACTGTATATGCTGTTTTGGCAGGTGGCACAAAGCCTTTTTGTTGAGGATTTCACTAATTTAGTTTTATTTTTCAGGCATTATAACTGAAAATTGGTAGTATTTCCATATTTTGTATAAGGAGGGCTGGAGGGTATAACAAGTAGTCACTGTTTTCTTTTTCCTGTTTTTTTTTTTAATGCTGTTTCATGTGAGTGTACTTCTCATTATTCAAATGAGCAGTCTTTGTGGGTTGTTGGCGGGTGCACTGGTGTGGTTTGCTTGAGTGCGCGAAATTTGTCCAAGTCAGAGCATCCAGAAATCTAACTGCGTGTGTGATTACACTTTTTTGTCTCAAATTACTCAAAATCATCTTTTCTTTTACACATTTTTGGATCTTGAACTAGGGAGGCATGTTTCTTCTCCTTCTTGTTTGTATTTGTTACTCTCTTGTGACATTGAAAATTTGGCACATTTGTGACCTATTTGTGTAGTAAGTACAGTTATGCTTACTGAAACAAAATATTGATTGCTTTGTATTGTCTGTGTTTGCTAGGCCGATTTGGTGGTTCTGGTGGAGGTTTTGATGACAGATACGGAGGTGGAAGACGCGACGATTACAACAGAGGACGTCGGGATGATGGATTTGATCGCAGGTTTGTCCAAGTTTGATATATCTTAGTTTTTCTCGATACTACGCTTCTTTTTCATGTCTTAGGAAAACATGTTCGAAATGTTCACCCCACTTTAAGGCATCGCTCTTTCAGTACTTGAGTTAGTTTGACCATGGCCAAACTTTGCTGTTACTCTGCATTTTATCTTCTCTATGTTACTTACTTTTATAAAAATCTGTGGCACACTTGTAATAACTATGGATTTGTGGTTTCTTCTGAATAATATTGGTGCATTTAGATAAGGACACTGGGTTATCTAAGGCAGTTTTAATCCTCTTTTAGTTCTATTATTGAGAATGGGGCCACAACAGCCAGCATCGAAGGCCTACTTACAATGTGGAATTTTATGGTTTTATGGCAGAGGGAAGACCATGAAAAAGAAAGATTGATTGAGTCAACGAAGCCGTTAGAAGCACACAGTTTATGAAATAAAAAGGCAACAGTAAAGTAACAATAAAAGGTGCATGTTTCTCAGGCCCCCCCAAGCCCTACCAGGGATGTTATTATAGTCCTCAGATCTCCAGACAATGTGTCCCTCAAATATTTTTTTTACCTCTCTTTCTTGGCACTAAGAAATCTTGGTTTACTGTTTCACTTGCTATTTTCCCCTCAAGCAGATGCGTATTTTGTTTGTTTGTTTAAAAAAAACGTTTAAGATGTCTGCAAGTTCTTTTCTTTTTGTTGGGACAATAAATTTTGGTCAGCACATTTTAATGTATATTGATGTAAGTTTGTACTTTTTTTCATTTTCAACAGACCTGCAAGCCGGGATGGCAGCCAAGGTTCGTTCATTTTCCTAACATTTTCTTGTCTTTTATGAGCTTTTATTAAATTGAGTATGATGGTGTATGTACATGAGTGGAAATGTTTGATTTCTTTTGTTTTTGCTAAGAAATAAAGCCTCACTGATACAGATATATAACAACTACTTTTTTCTTCGTGAATGATTTGTCTTTCATTTTTATTCGTTATAACCCTGAATGACAGCCAATGATTGTCATTTTTCTATCAACAATTCTCTAATTCTCAGCTAAAAACACGTCATGATTGTGTTGTTCTTGTTGAACTGAAAAGAAAAAAATCTTAACATTACTTGTCCTTCCTGGTGCAGAGCGCAGGGATGCACCGACAGAGCGGCCACGGCTAAAGCTTCAGCCTCGCTCCAAACCTGTGGAGAAAGAGAACCAGCCGAGCACTCGCTCGTCCATTTTTGGCGCGGCCAAACCCGTTGATACGTATGCTCGGGAGAAACAGATTGAGGAAAAACTCAAAGGCAAGGATGACGTTGGGTAAGTTTGTCCCTCTTACCTCTGTGGTCTGAGTGTTGTGGCTCGCGATATTGCTGGAGTGTTGTTTCTGTTGTGGCTACTGAGTAGTGTAGAAGACTCTGGGCAGAAGGATTCTGTTCAAAATTTCTGTGGGAGAAAACTGCCTGAGAATGAGAATACATGTATCTTAACAGAGTGGTCTTCGAAAAGGTACGCCTTGATTTAAGACTTTACTATGCCTTTATGTTTTATTTAGTTAGGCTGTTCTAGTATTAGAGAAGGCAAAATATTGTACATGTCTCCTCTCTCTGGTATGAAATGAGAAGTGGAGAGGTACAATTTTTGTGTGCGTCTCTCTTGTGTTTCTAGTTATTTATCAATGCAGTGCCACTCGTACTTTTCTACAAGTTTGATTTCTGCCCTGAATTTTGTTTACTCTGTGTCCAGGTTTTTTTTCTTCGTATAGCAGTGGGAAATCAATTTCCGAGTTGGTCGCTGGTTTTAAATTGCTCTAATGAATGGAGATTGGTACAAATATTTTAATGGGCTTTTTGTTTGTAGGATTGATATTCCTACCCATGACAGCTTGCAGACCTGAGTGTGTTGTGTCTCTGTGAGTTGTAAGTGGTAGGAACAGAGAACTCGCACAAGTCACATGTACTAAAGCTCCCGGTTTCCTCTGTGCTGGGCAGCTTAATCAGTGTGACTACATGTGAATGCTGAATCCTATTTTTTTTAGTGTGAAGAGATGTCTTGTTTAAAAAGTACACTATACTACTTCATTTACAGCATTCTTCTTTTTTTTTTTTGTGTGTTTTACAAAAGCTCATGCATTACTGTCGCAAGAAGTATGAGTAGCTCGAACAATTTTTACTCATCATGTAAAAAAAGTAGTAACTTATTATTCTAGCAACAAGGATTCTGTGATTTCATTTTCCAGGCTTACATAGTTGCATGTTTGAGGCAGTGAATTTTCTGAATAGTAATTGATATATTCTGATGCTGTCTCAGAAGTCTTCTATTTAGGAATTCAAGGATGTTTTCTATTGTCACCAAAATACAGATGTCTGTGATTTAAGGAGCGCTCTTCAATTTTCATGCAAAAGATAAATTGTTTCCAGAGATATTTTCAAATGTCAATTGTTTTTGTAGTTCCTGTTTGAAAATTGCTCCCCCTTTAGCACAGGCTGGCTCGAACAGCCGGGTTCGAAACGACTGGCTTCCTCAATGATCCAATTTTTAAAAAATAAAAGCGTAAACGCGATCAATAATGATAGCAATTGCTTTTGTTTGTTTTCCTTATCCTGTTTTGTTCATTTAGTCTTTTCACAGTTCAGCGAAATGAATGTTTTGGGGTGCCTGCTCTGAAATGATGCCGAGAGGGGTTTACAGCTGAAATATTTTTATGGTTTATAACGGTTATCTTTTCGTGCGTGTAGAAATAAGTGTCCTACCCATGACAGCTTGCAGACCTGAGTGTGTTGTGTCTCTGTGAGTTGTAAGTGGTAGGAACAGAGAACTCGCACAGGTCACATGTACTAAAGCTCCCGGTTTCCTCTGTGCTGGGCAGCTTAATCAGTGTGACTACATGTGAATGCTGGCTCACATTATTTTGTGAAGAGAGGGTGTCTCATTAAAAAAAATCACAGAATACTACTTTGTTTACAGCATTGTATGTTTTTCTCTTCTTGTGTGTTTTACAAAAGCTCATGCGTTACTGTCACAAGAAGTATGAGTAGCTCAAACAATTTTTACTCACCATGTAAAGAAAAGTAGTAACTAATTATTCCAGCAACAAGGATGCTGTGATTTCATTTTCCAGGCTTCCATAATTGACCCCCCGGGGCAGTGCCACTGACTAGTGTCTTTAGGCCATTCCCAAAGGGGGGACATTTCTTGTTCAAGCACAGTAGAATTGTAAATGGTCTGATTCATCTGCTTTTTCTTTCCTAATCCTTACTATTGTCATTTTCCTCTAACTTCTTTTGTATGTTTGTCACTCTCTTGTGACCCGCTATTTCCGGTGTGCCTTGATAGTCGAAGCAGACCTTGAGCTAGAGAGGTGAGCAGAGTAAGTCTGATTCCCTGTAAAGACTTCTCTGTTGATACCCACCCCTTGGCGCTCATATGACCTTATGCAGTTGCGATCGCTGTAAAACGCTCTACTATATTTTTAAAAAAGATATTCCATAGATGCATGTTTGAGGCACTGATTTATCTGAATAGTAATTGATATATTCTGATGCTATGTCTCAGAAGTCTTCTGTTTAGGAATTCAAGGATGTTTTCTATTGTCACCAAAATATCATTGTGATTTAAGGATTATGCCTTTCAATTTCAATTTTCATGCAGAAAATGAATTGGCTCAGTTCAGCGAAATAAATGTTTTTTGGTGCCTGCTCTGAATTGAGGGGGATTTACTGCTGAAATATTTTTACGGTTTATAACGAATATCTTTTTGTGTGTGTAGAAGTAAGTATCCTACCCATGACAGCTTGCAGACCTGAGTGTGTTGTGTCTCTGTGAGTTGTAAGTGGTAGGAACAGAGAACTCGCACAGGTCACATGTACTAAAGCTCCCGGTTTCCTCTGTGCTGGGCAGCTTAATCAGTGTGACTACATCCAGTTTCTAGACCACACAGATATGTTATGTGTTATGTGTTCGCTTACTCAAAAGGTGGAAAGCAAGGCTGGAAATATATAACGTTCAAAGTCAACTTTTAAAGCTAATTTTTTCTGTACTTAAGTAAGATGCATGTCCAATCTTGCAAATATTGGGGTTGACTGTTTTTTTCTATTCCCAAGAACAGAAATGTGCGAAATTGTGTAGATTTAACACCTCTTTCAACATTAAAGCTTTAAAGAGATTAAAGAGGCAGGTGCTTCAAATTTAGTGTCCATCTTTGATAGGACTGGGCCAAATGGGAAAATTGTTGTTAATGGCCTTTCCCATGGACACAGTATTCGACTGAGCTGAGCCTCGAACCTTTGAAATGGCAAGCTCATGGTTGGGGTTCAGCTGCCTTACCACTAGACAACAGATGCCACTGCTTCTGTTTCTGAGAGTGATTGAAAAATTGTAGGTCATGAGATCAAACCTGCCTCTAAAACAACACATCTGTTTTACTGCCGGAACTTTTGATATTTGTCATTGATGTAGATTCACTTGAGCATATATATGTGAGGCATCATGGTGAAATCAAATGCTCTTCAAAATAATGAAATCGAAGCAACAAGCATTTTCCCTTCAGTGAGGCAATTTTTGTCGCATTTGGGGGGGGGGGGGCAGCTAAGGACCATATAAAAATAAAATGTTGATTTATGGCACAAAATATGTACATTTTCAGTTTCCAAGGACTCTCAAGCTATAGAAGTTACCAAATTTTGGCGGCCATTTTCTTGCTAAAATTACTGCAGAAAACAGGTTACCCCCACCTTCAATCGCAAATATCTGGACTTCTATTCAAGACAGATGGGTATTATTTTCACCAAAAGAAAGACAAATAATAAGCTTTAAGATTAAACCAATAACTCCATGCCCTAAAATTGATGAGCGTCCTATCCTATATATATGCTGATGGATAATTGTATATGTTCCTGTAATGTTAAGTGTATGAAGCTATGATAGAGCAGGAATGTGCATCATAGAATTGAGACCCAATATTTAAATTATTTGTATTGAATAAGAAATGTCCCTAGATTCTTTCTTTGTGTTCAGGCAGCGTTACTTGTTTGATTTCAGACCCCGATCCAGACGTGCAGATAACGAAAGCTCTGGTGGAGACAGGCGCAGCAGTGGAGACCGCTCAGGTGTGTTTGATCAGTTGTGCCCAACGTGCAACGGAATGCTTTGAAAAGAGAAATGGGTGGCTGTTGTTGGTTAATATGCTGTTTTTTGGTCATTTCTTTTTCAGTCTTTGGCTTTTTTTTCTCAGCTGTGCATGATTGTGGCTCTATCCAGAGTCTTCTCACTTGCTCAAAGGGAAACGGAAAGTTTTATGTGTGTAGGAGAGGATTAAAAGATTCCTCCATTTATTGACCTGAAAATAAGGCCACCGTTGTAAATTGTTGGCAAAAAGATGATTGTCTTCAATAATAGTGTACTGTGACTGAGAAGAAAATAGTGTGCTGTGTACAAATTTTTGTGTTGTGGGTTTTTTAGTCAATTAATGTTTCATCCTTTTGTGCATTAAATTTTCAGTGTATTTATGTGATTAATCATTCTTTTTGACTTGTTAAAGTCATACTGGTGCTTGTTAGAATTTCTACTTTATTTCTCAACTGCTAGTTCTATTTCTGTCTGCTTTTTTGGGGGTCTTTTTCCACGCAGAGGGTGATAACTGTCTGCTTTTTTGGGGGTCTTTTTCCACGCAGAGGGTGATAACGATAGGTCTCAGAACTTTGTTATTACTATGGTTCATTCATTTTGAATGGCTTTTAGGAGGCGCTCTCTTTGAAAAGCAACTGTATTATTAGCCTGTAGATATGTGCTTTTTCGTGGACATTTTAAGCGGTCGAAAAGATGCTCGCTGATAATAATGTTAAGGTTGTGAAGTGTCTTTTCAACATATTTTGAACCTGAGAAGTACGTCACTCTCAGCTTGTAGCACCTTTTTGCTTCTCTTTTTGTGCAATTACACAACTGAAAAACCCAAACAATTTTCAAGGGAAAATTTTCTGGCACTGTATAGATACTTGTTGAAGGGTATCAAACAAATGTCTTCCTTGTGTTGGACAAGTGAAGTGGACTTTTTCTTCTTCTCCGTTGTTCATATTTTGCTACTATTGCCAACCGTTGCTCTCTGAAACACTTCCTGTGTCGGATGGGTGCAGAAAGTGGGCGGCGCAAGAGCAGCCTCACCAGCGTCTGTGCTTCGGTGATTAGACCTGGTAGGTAGAGTCGCAGTGGGATCTCTTGTGTGCTGGTGATGGCAGCTTTGACACCCCCCTCCCCCGAAAAAAAGGGGAAATATTGAAACTCAACCAACATAATCCTGTAGTAGTCGTCCTCCCCATCCCATACTAGTGGTTTGTGTTCAGTGTCTGTCTTTTGAATTGTCAACTTCTTGTTTATTTCAGCTTAATGACAATTGTTAGAGTCATTGATGTTCTTTGAAAAATGTCCCTGTGTCTCTACATGTGTTTAGACCTGCATGTTTGCCGACAATTGTCTGAAATCCAACAATCGCGACCAGACCCACGACCCGGCCGATGCTATCGCTAGGCCCACCTGTATTAGTCAATGTTGCGAAATGCGAGGCCTGGCCAATCGCCAGCACCCCCTTTTTCTGCAGTCGGCTTTGTCTGCACTTTCATGGACTTTTTTTACATTTCTGAAGAGCCATCGCAGGTTCTTTTTTGGAGGCTGATGCCCCCGGCATGTACCTCTACAAGTGCTGCGGTTTTATGATGGGGGGCTCTCGTGGCCTAGAGGTTAAGGTGTTGGCCTCTCCTTCAAAGGTCCCGGGTAGCGACCGGAAAATTTTCTTCTCTAAAATTGTCTCCTTTCACCTCCTTTCCTGCTCTCTAGCAATGTTCTGTTGTCTGCTTTCGTTTCCACTTTCTGCCCCCACCCCCTCACCTCTTTTGCCCCCTCCTCTGGGCTCCTGACCCTTTCTGCAGCCTTTCTACTGCTACTCCGTGGCTCCTCCTAACTGCTGTCTTTCTGCCACACCCCTGATCTTCTAGTAGGAAAGATCTACACATAGCCTTCTCGGACACGGGCGAAAAATCTCGGAGGGCTCGTGTGCAAGTTGCGCACGTTAAAGATCCCTTGGTGGTCTGAAATCGATAAGTGTAGGCTTCGGCAGCCGCCTGGGCAAAATTAAAAATTTCCTACCAACTGAAAATGTAGGTGTGTCCCGCGCTCTCATATGACCTTATGCGGTTGCGAGCGCCTTAAAAACACTTACCAAAACAAAACAACAAAAGCACTTATAAATGGGGGGAACGGATGGGGGGTAGTGTTGTGTGCGGAAAATTTTCAGACAATCTGGTTGAGGCTCACATGCAGGTCTAGTGCTTGTTAGAGATCTTTATTTCTTGTTTGAGAGGGTGTTTTTTGTTTTGTTTTGTTGTTTTTTTTCCCCACCTGCTTTTCTTTTTCCTTTTTCTAGTGTTGAAGAAAGGGTGGCTTGATTGTGTTTTTATTTTGTTCTGTTTGGCTTATTAGGAAAACAAAATTATACATCCTACCATAAATACAGACAGGTCATTTTGGAGGCAGTATGCCTCATGTAGTTCAGTTGCTTGTCTGTTCGTTATTTGTCCTTTTTTTTTGCCTCTGCCATAATTCTATTTGTTCCTGTCAGTAGAATAAAGAAGCCTTTTTCTTTTTATGATTTTAACCATATTTGCTTAGATTTGTTTTGTACTGCTGTTTCTTTATGGGGAAGTTGATAGTTTGTCCCACTGAATGTTCTGGAATGTCTTTCTTTTCTGTTTTGAAGTCTTACATTTGCTTGTTTGATATGACCATTGCTTCATTAGTGTTTTAGTTCAGATACGTTGTGTGAATGAATTTTGAACAGTGTGCCTCTCAGTGTTTTCAGGGGGCTACTTAATTTTTCTCTATTCTTATGGAATTCAAATTCCAACTGGCATAGACTACATCGTTGTAGACAAGAAAGGGGTTGATTGTATTTTTATCTCGAAGAAGCTCACACAGGGAATATGATTTCGTGTTGCAGAGCTGGAAACGTTTGTATTGCGGTTTCAGTTCCCCTTCTCTTACTTGTACACCATCTATTTGTATAGCTTAGTTTCAATATTGTTCTGCTCTGCTATTTCACAGTACTATTATAAATTCTTCTGTTTTAGAATGTAGCTTCTAAATGTTTTTGTTTTTATAAGTTTGGTTTATTTTTGGTTTTGTCCTATTGTCAACCTTTGCTTTCGCGTTAATGTGTCTATAAATCTTTTAAAATGCTGTACAATTCTTAAATGGTGTATGGGTGCTGGAGCATCTGTTAGGAATCTTGACTTCCCTTAATCATTTGTCATTCCACGATTTTTCCTCACAGCCCCAGTGTCTCGCAGAGACAGCGAGCATTCTCGCACCTCAGATGACCAGGGGGAGGAGGGAGCCCGGTCCCCGACCAGCGGCAAGTCAGCTGATCCTGCCCAAAAGATGGTGCCTGCCCCACCGCCGAAGGATAACCCATGGGGGAGGAAGCGCGAGGGGCCGTCCGACGCTTCGAATAACGCCGCTCCAGTCTCGCCGACGTCACAATCAGCTGACAGGGCCCCGCCCCCTGACCGCAGAGATGCTCCGCCCCCTAAGGTGTGTCATCACTCATTTGCCGGCATTGTGGTTTTTAAAAAAACATTTGTACATCAGGTGATGGGAGGGTGCCTCTTGTAGGCCTTGCTTTTGTCCTTTTCCCTCCGTTCCCTTTCTTCAAATGTCTGTTGTTCTTGTCGAACATCTATCGTATTTATCTCCCCCCCATCTTTTTGTGTGTTTCTTACTCTCTTGTAACACCTCTAATCTTCGTACCCTCTTGGGCGATGCTACTGACTGTAGTGTCTTTAGGTCCTTCCCAAAGGGGGGGACATTAAATGTTTTTATGCACAGTAGGATTGTAAATGGGCTGGTTCATCAATGTTATGCTCATAACTGCCTGAACTGCAACAGGGAACTGCTGTGTTTTCTTTCCTAGTCCTTACTATTGTCATTTTTCTTCTTCTTCTTTTGTATGTTTGTCACACTCTTGTGACCCTCTATTTCCGGGGTGCCTTGATAGTCGAAGCAGACTTTGTGCTGTTGAAGCTAGAGAGGTGATCAGAGTAAGCCTGATTCCCTGTATGGATTTCTCTGTTGATATCCACCCCTTGGCGCTCATATGACCTTATGCAACACCGTAAAACACCTCTAAAGTAAACTAAACTCTAATCTTTGGCACTTATATGACCTTATTGTGTTACAAATGCTGTGAAACTCTTACTAAAACAATCTCTCTGTCTCTCTCTCTCTGTCTCTCTCTCTCTCTCTCTCTCTCCTTCTCTCCCTCTCCCTCTCCCTCTCTAAGTTTTATTTCTTTATGATCACCAGTCAAATGCTTGGGGCCGCGGCCCTCCTGCCCGCTCGGATGGTGACCGTCGAGGTTCTAGTGACAGAGCTAATGGAGGCCGAGACGCTCAGTGTAAGTGATAGAATCATAGATTGTGGCCAGGACCAAGCAGTGACAGGGGTGTTGGGGATGTGGGGCTGAAGTGAAATGTGGAATGTTTATCAGCATTGGGGATTTCCTACAGGGACATTTTGGGAACTTATGAGGAAACGTTCTATTTTATAGAATAAAATATTCATTGCTTGGTCAAAGCATGTCTTTTAGAGATGTTTCTAGTGCTTTTTACTGCTGTTGTAACTTGATTTTTGTTTTTTGGGCTATGCGTCCTGAAACTTGGATGGAGCAATACTCCCAGTGCAAATGTTCTTTTTGTTGGTCTCGTTCTGTGTGTGGTTGTTCTGTTTTCAGTTCACATTACTCAGTTTGAGACTAACAGCATTTGTTTATTTGGTTGTTTTTTTTCTGCGCTGCACTTGCAACCTTGTTTGCGAACAATATCTCACACATAAAGGGGGGGCTCTCGCTTGCTTTGTGGAGTTTGTTTGGCTACAGTTTTTGCTGTCATTGTGGACTAAGTAAATGAATAATTCTTTGTATATGATTGAAAGTAAGTGAGATAACCTTGAGTCAGTGAGTTGAGCAATAATTTCCAGTCTTTGATATTGTTTGACTCAACAAAATTTTGTTTGTGTAGAAACAACTTTTCGCTTAGCGAATTACTGTATATGCTGTTTTGGCAGGTGGCACAAAGCCTTTTTGTTGAGGATTTCACTAATTTAGTTTTATTTTTCAGGCATTATAACTGAAAATTGGTAGTATTTCCATATTTTGTATAAGGAGGGCTGGAGGGTATAACAAGTAGTCACTGTTTTCTTTTTCCTGTTTTGTTTTGTACTGCTGTTTCATGTGAGTGTACTTCTCATTATTCAAATGAGCAGTCTTTGTGGGTGGTTGGAGGGTGCTGTGGTGCGATTTGCTTGAGTGCGCGAAATTTGTCCAAGTCAGAGCATCCAGAAATCTAACTGCGTGTGTGATTACACTTTTTTGTCTCAAATTACTCAAAATCATCTTTTCTTTTACACATTTTTGGATCTTGAACTAGGGAGGCATTTTTCTTCTTCTTCTTGTTTGTATTTGTTACTCTCTTGTAACATTGAAAATTTGGCACTTTAATGACCTGTTTGTGGTTGCAAGTACAGTTATGCTTACTGAAACAAAATATTGATTGCTTTGTATTGTCTGTGTTTGCTAGGCCGATTTGGTGGTTCTGGTCGAGGTTCTGATGACAGATACGGAGGTGGAAGACGCGACGATTACAACAGAGGACGTCGGGATGATGGATTTGATCGCAGGTTTGTCCAAGTTTGATATATCTTAGTTTTTCTCGATACTACGCTTCTTTTTCATGTCTTAGGAAAACATGTTCGAAATGTTCACCCCACTTTAAGGCATCGCTCTTTCAGTACTTGAGTTAGTTTGACCATGGCCAAACTTTGCTGTTACTCTGCATTTTATCTTCTCTATGTTACTTACTTTTATAAAAATCTGTGGCACACTTGTAATAACTATGGATTTGTGGTTTCTTCTGAATAATATTGGTGCATTTAGATAAGGACACTGGGTTATCTAAGGCAGTTTTAATCCTCTTTTAGTTCTATTATTGAGAATGGGGCCACAACAGCCAGCATCGAAGGCCTACTTACAATGTGGAATTTTATGGTTTTATGGCAGAGGGAAGACCATGAAAAAGAAAGATTGATTGAGTCAACGAAGCCGTTAGAAGCACACAGTTTATGAAATAAAAAGGCAACAGTAAAGTAACAATAATAGGTGCATGTTTCTCAGGCCCCCCCAAGCCCTACCAGGGATGTTATTATAGTCCTCAGATCTCCAGACAATGTGTCCCTCAAATATTTTTTTTACCTCTCTTTCTTGGCACTAAGAAATCTTGGTTTACTGTTTCACTTGCTATTTTCCCCTCAAGCAGATGCGTATTTTCTTTCTTTTTTTAAAAAAAACGTTTAAGATGTCTGCAAGTTCTTTTCTTTTTGTTGGGACAATAAATTTTGGTCAGCACATTTTAATGTATATTGATGTAAGTTTTTACATTTTTTCATTTTCAACAGACCTGCAAGCCGGGATGGCAGCCAAGGTTCGTTCATTTTCCTTACATTTGCTTGTTTGATATGAGCTTTTATTAAATTGAGTATGATGGTGTATGTACATGAGTGGAAATGTTTGATTTCTTTTGTTTTTGCTAAGAAATAAAGCCTCACTGATACAGATATATAACAACTACTTTTTTCTTCGTGAATGATTTGTCTTTCATTTTTATTCGTTATAACCCTGAATGACAGCCAATGATTGTCATTTTCCTATCAACAATTCTCTAATTCTCAGCTAAAAACACGTCATGATTGTGTTGTTCTTGTTGAACTGAAAAGAAAAAAATCTTAACATTACTTGTCCTTCCTGGTGCAGAGCGCAGGGATGCACCGACAGAGCGGCCACGGCTAAAGCTTCAGCCTCGCTCCAAACCTGTGGAGAAAGAGAACCAGCCGAGCACTCGCTCGTCCATTTTTGGCGCGGCCAAACCCGTTGATACGTATGCTCGGGAGAAACAGATTGAGGAAAAACTCAAAGGCAAGGATGACGTTGGGTAAGTTTGTCCCTCTTACCTCTGTGGTCTGAGTGTTGTGGCTCGCGATATTGCTGGAGTGTTGTTTCTGTTGTGGCTACTGAGTAGTGTAGAAGACTCTGGGCAGAAGGATTCTGTTCAAAATTTCTGTGGGAGAAAACTGCCTGAGAATGAGAATACATGTATCTTAACAGAGTGGTCTTCGAAAAGGTACGCCTTGATTTAAGACTTTACTATGCCTTTATGTTTTATTTAGTTAGGCTGTTCTAGTATTAGAGAAGGCAAAATATTGTACATGTCTCCTCTGTCTGGTCTGAAATGATAAGTGTAGAGGTACAATTTTTGTGTGCGTCTCTCTTGTGTTTCTAGTTATTTATCAATGCAGTGCCACTCGTACTTTTCTACAAGTTTGATTTCTGCCCTGAATTTTGTTTACTCTGTGTCCAGGTTTTTTTTCTTCGTATAGCAGTGGGAAATCAATTTCCGAGTTGGTCGCTGGTTTTAAATTGCTCTAATGAATGGAGATTGGTACAAATATTTTAATGGGCTTTTTGTTTGTAGGATTGATATTCCTACCCATGACAGCTTGCAGACCTGAGTGTGTTGTGTCTCTGTGAGTTGTAAGTGGTAGGAACAGAGAACTCGCACAAGTCACATGTACTAAAGCTCCCGGTTTCCTCTGTGCTGGGCAGCTTAATCAGTGTGACTACATGCGAATGCTGAATCCTATTTTCTTTAGTGTGAAGAGATGTCTTGTTTAAAAAGTACACTATACTACTTCATTTACAGCATTCTTCTTTTTTTTTTTTGTGTGTTTTACAAAAGCTCATGCATTACTGTCGCAAGAAGTATGAGTAGCTCGAACAATTTTTACTCATCATGTAAAAAAAGTAGTAACTTATTATTCTAGCAACAGGGATGCTGTGTTTTCATTTTCCAGTCTTACATAGTTGCTTGTTTGAGGCAGTGAATTTTCTGAATAGTAATTGATATATTCTGATGCTGTCTCAGAAGTCTTCTATTTAGGAATTCAAGGATGTTTTCTATTGTCACCAAAATACAGATGTCTGTGATTTAAGGAGCGCTCTTCAATTTTCATGCAAAAGATAAATTGTTTCCAGAGATATTTTCAAATGTCTGTTGTTTTTGTAGTTCCTGTTTGAAAATTGCTCCCCCTTTAGCACAGGCTGGCTCGAACAGCCGGGTTCGAAACGACTGGCTTCCTCAATGATCCAATTTTTAAAAAATAAAAGCGTAAACGCGATCAATAATGATAGCAATTTCTGTTGTCTGTTTTCCTTTTCCTGCTTTGTTCATTTAGTCTTTTCACAGTTCAGCGAAATGAATGTTTTGGGGTGCCTGCTCTGAAATGATGCCGAGAGGGGTTTACAGCTGAAATATTTTTATGGTTTATAACGGTTATCTTTTCGTGCGTGTAGAAATAAGTGTCCTACCCATGACAGCTTGCAGACCTGAGTGTGTTGTGTCTCTGTGAGTTGTAAGTGGTAGGAACAGAGAACTCGCACAGGTCACATGTACTAAA